CCTGCAGCCTGACCTTGGTCTCTGGTGTGAGCCGTGTGGGGTTAGGATTTGGGCCTTGTGCTGCTGGGTCTGGTTCACTTTACAGAACTTCTCCTTTGGGCAGCCGGAACTGGCCTGTCACTCGCTGGCCCTGGCACAGCAGGAAACTACCGGGTCTCAGAGCCTAGGAGTTGCCCAGTTCCGTGTCCAGGGATGGAGCTCTGGCCCATGGACGGTAGAACTGGAAATACGGCGCATAGGACGGGTGTCTGTGTGAGGGGATCTGTAATAACGCTGCCAGTCGGTACAATCTAACATTACCGAGCCCTTTCCAGGTCCCAGGTACTGTGCTGAGTATAATAGTTCGTGTGTGTCCAGCCATTTACCTCACAATAACCCATTTCATAGGCGAGAAAACTGAGGCACGAACAGGTAAAACTGCTTTCCCAGGTGATTGGCTAGTAAGTAACAGAGGCAGGTTTCCAATCCAGGTAGTAGTCTGGTTCCGCGACGCACGCTCTTAGCAGCTACACTCTTATGACTACATGTGCGATATGACGATGCGCAGAACCAGCTCCCCAGATGCTGGCACGGAAGTCAGGCTCTGCTTAGTCTGTGACCATATAAAATTTTTCATCAAAGGTAAAAGCTAAAATTGAAACATTCATCAATATAATGGGAGCCCACCCCTGATTATTATTATTATTATTTTTTTGAGACAAAGTCTCATTCTGTTTCCCAGGCTGCAGTGCAGTGGCGCGATCATAGCTCACTGTAGCCTCCAACTCCCGGACTCCAGTGAACCTCCTGTCTCAGCCTTCTGAGTAGCTGGGACTACAGATGGGCGCCACCACGCCCAGCTAATTATTTTTTTATTCTTTGTAGAGATAAGGCCCTACTATGTTGTCCAGGCTGGTCTCTAACTCGTGGCCTCAAGCAGTCCTCTGGCCTCTGCCTCCCAAACTGCTGGGGTTACGGGCGTGAGCCACCACCCCCAGCCCCTGATTCTTTACTCACGGTATTCCTCTCTAACAGAGAATCAAGTCCCGGTCTAGGCACACTGAGAGGTGGGAGCTCAACACCTCTTGGAAGCAAAGCATTTAAGTATAGATAGGTGGATATAGTCGGTCTCATGAATCGTGGATTCTGCATTTGGGAATTCCCCTACTTGCTAAGATTTATTTTTAACTCCAAAGTCAATAGTCACGGCACTTTTGTGGTCATTCACAGACACGTGCAGAGTGGCAAGAAGTTTGGCTTGGGTGACGTGTGTGTTCCCGTCTGAGCTCAAACGAGGCAGCGCTCTGTCTGCTTTTCTCATCTCTCAGACTAACAAGGGTCCTTTCTGCGGTTTCTGTGCTCCGTGTTAGTGATTTCCCTGTCCCAAATGGCCCCAAGGCTGGCTGCCCTGCCGTCTCATGCTCCTGAAGGCAGGAGGCTGTGCTGTTCTCACGGGAGCACCGCGCTGCGGGAAGAGCTGTGCCGAGGGATGAGCGGCCGTGCTGTGCTGTGAGCTCGGGTGACAGGGCGACAACACAGCACGTCCAGAAAAAGGAAGAGGAAGTTTTCCGATCCCTACATGGGGCCATTCTGGAAAGTGCTGAAGTAACATCTGTAGGGTGTGATGCAGCTGTGGGGAGGATGGAAGAGCAGCTAAGTTAATGCATTCATGAGATGACAAAGAGTTTTTAAAAAGCACAGTGGACAGCACTGCTGGGAGGCTGAAAGCCAAAGAAATTTGCAGTCACGTTACCCAGGGCCAGGTAGTCGGGAAGCCCTTCCCCACTGGTGTTGTAGCATAAATAAATACTAGGTATAGTTAAGTCCTTGTAAGAAATATCTGTTACATAAAATATCTTTAAATAGAAATCCACACATAAAATAAGGTTGACCAAATGATGTGACCAGAGGCTCTGAGGAACCTAACCCTAAACTTCCCCTGCCAGTAACGACTCAGTATTCGCTAACTCAGCATTCGGAGCAATGTCATAGAACATCGCTGCCGTGAGTAACAGGAGTTACCTGGAGACAGAGACCCACACTTCAAATTGAAGTACACATAATGTATATAACTGATACACGGATTTCGATTTGAGTTAAGATCAGCCCCCTACCCCCGTCACCTTACCACTGCCAGCCCCTGGTTGAAGTTCTGCCCTCTGGGGTCACACAGACTTTGCCCCCTTGGTTGGGACCCTGAGCTTCTGGGACCACTGCCTGGGGCCACACGGGTCCATGTGCTGCCCTGACCCTCAGACAGGCAGAGTGGTGGACGCGGGTGTTGTCTGGGGACGGGGAGGCTCAGACGCTGCCCTGCTCTCTTCCCCAGAGTCATCAGTACCTGCCCACAGTGGTGGATGGCGTGCTCCTGCCCAAAACCCCCGAAGAGATTCTGGCCGAGAAGAATTTCAACACTGTCCCCTACATCGTCGGCATCAACAAGCAAGAGTTTGGCTGGTTTCTTCCAATGGTGAGCACGTGCAGCCTCTTAGACTCTCCGCTCTCCCCGTCAGCCCTCCCAGCTCTGGCCACAGACGTCCGTCCTTCTCCAAGGCTGGATCTGAGTCCAGGGCATCTGTCCCCTCCCTCACAAGTTGTCATTTCCATGGAAACCTTCTCTGGGATGGCCCAGCTGTGACTGGGGTGGCACGGCCCTGGGAACCCCTCTCCCAACACCCTTTGATCATCTTCCAATGAAAGAATCCTGCGGTGTCCGTGCCGGGAGGGCCTGTGGAGGTAACGGTTGTGCAGATGGAAACGGAGGAGCCTGGAACAGGGAGGGAGCTCGGGAGTTGAGGCGAGTCAGGCCTGGGCGGCGGCTTCTCACCTTGGGCCTGGTGCGCACTTTCCCATGAATCTCCACACACGCTCTCAGTCGTCTCTGAGAGATTCAGAGCGAGTTGGTTCTCCTTGAGTTAAGATTGACTCTAAACGTGCAGAAAGAATTTCCTTCCTGTCCAACGTAGACAAAGCCAACCCCAGTTAGAGCCATAGGACAGATTTTATTCAGTAACACGACTGCAGTAGGGAGTTGTCCAGTGTGGATGGCCCCAAATCCCTGAAACAAAGGCTGGGGCTGTCCTAAAGCCCAGCTGTGCTGAGGGAAAGCCCTGTGGGGTGCGGAGTTGGGGTGGTTAGTCCGTGAGGCTCGACCACCTGGATGTGTGAGTCCCCCTCATCTGGAGGAGAAGCAGGAGGCCGTGGTGTAGACTGAAGTGAGGCCCTCCCGGAAGTGAGGCTGGAATCTTTGCACAGGACTGGGAGGGAGACCCAGGGTTGCCTCCCTGAAGGTTTGCACTTAATAGAGAGGCCTCTCAGGCCCTGGAGGAAGCAGTCTGGGTGGTAGATTTGCATCCCAAGGGCAGAGAAAGGCCTTGTACTTGCAGCCTGTCTAAAGTGACTGCTCTGGGAGGGGCTGAGGGGCCTCTGCCTGTCACCAGGTTTTGGCTGCAGCAGAGAGTAAGTTCTCTTGGCAGGTGGAGCTTTCTCAGGCAGGCGTTGTAAGGGGGCTGGAGCCATTGTGGGGGCCATTGACCTTAAGCTGCTAGGAGACCTGCTAGGGCTTGAGGAAGTCTCTGGGTGCAGAGGTTTGGACAGGGTCGTTATGTGCTGAGAGTTCTGCAGTTCTGCCTTCAGAAGGATATCAGAGGTTATGCCTAAGACCAAGGCCATGATGGCAGGATTCGGGATTTTCTATGTCATCTGCGACAGGTGGGGAATTTGAGAGGTCTGTGTCACTTGCCCCAGAGCCCTTGACTTCAATGCTAGCCTGGCTACAGCTTCCCTCTCTGCCTCCCTGACCATTGTGGGGATTCTAGCCTGATGCACACGCACAGCACGCACACACACCCACAAACACACATGCGCACCACACACAAACACATGCATACACACACAAACAGCAAAAAACTGGCACAGCTTCTGCCAAACTTATTTTAATCCTCTTTGCAATCCTTGAGTTGAATGAAAGTCCATTTGATTCATTGATTTTGCCCAATTCATTAAAGACCCATGCTTTTCAAGGCCCAAGAAAGTTAGAAGACCTTCAGTCTGGGTTGGATTGTTGGTTGGTGAGGTTGGCTGTTGTTCATTCCCAATGATTCACAAATACTTAATCATTTTTTTTAATAGTTGATGGGCTATCCGCTTTCTGAAGGCAAACTGGACCAGAAGACGGCCACGTTTCTCTTGTGGAAGTCCTCCCCGCTTACTGTAAGAGTCTAGGAACCATGGGAATTGGGTGAGACCCAAAGAGGGGCAGGGACTTGTCCCGAATCACAGATCAATTAAATTACAGAATGGAGACTGGGGCTTGAGGGTTCTGCCCCCACTTTTCTACCTTCCCCACTTGATCATCCTGGGGCTGAGGGGGGAGTTGCCCAGGGCTGGGGAGGTTCCCCATCAGTGCGAGCCTCGCTCACTGGCCAGAGAAGCTGCACTGCTCACCAGGGCTCATGGTCACCGTCTTGATCTATTTCAGGGCATCCCTGAGGAGCTGACTTCGGTGGCCATTGAGGAGTATTTAGGAGGAACAGAGGACCCTGTCAAAAAGAAAGACCTGTTCCTGGACTTGATTGGAGATGTCGTGTTTTGTGTCCCATCTGTGATTGTGGCCCGACGCCACAGAGGTGAGCCCTAGAGGCTAGACGGGAGAGGAACACAGACCCCACCAGCTCCAGTGTCTGACCTGCTCACCTCCCAGCATAGACAGATGTCGACACTGCTGGTGGGGAGGCCTCACAGGCAGGTTCCATATTGCATAGGGTGTGGCACTGTCCTTTTGGGTTTCTTCCTGCAGCAGACTCTGAGAAAATGATCCAGGTGCATGCAGTTTATTTGTCAGGTAATGGTAGAAAACACCAGCAGGGAGGTGGGGAAGTGTCAGAGGGAAGAGATGGAAGACAATCCGTGACGCGTTGCCCAGCAAGTGTCCACTGTGCACAGCTGGAGCTGGGAGCTCTGGGAAACAAGCAGAGGACACGGCTCAGGGTTGTCCCCTCTGAGCAGGGGGGGCTGGGGTATTCATCCACCAGTTCTCAGCTGTGATTGGTTGAAGGCTGTTCCATTGAGTTGTTGACTCCCTGGCACTTTGACCTGTTGCACACATGGGCTGATTAGTCTCTGGTGGCCCAACGAAGGCCTCAGGCAAAGAGCTGGATGCTGGTGGTGGACAGGCTGGTGTCAGGCTGGTGCTCAGGCGGGCAGGCCCAAAAAGAGGGCATATGGGTGAGGTAGGTGAGGCACCAACAGCATCTGCTACAAGGGCTTCCTACCTGCAGTGATGGTGGGATGTGGGTCTAGAGGACAAATATTGGACAGGTCTTGAAAGGTTTCCAAGATCAGAGCTGGCTGCGAACTAGTTTCTTAACTGGTGGAGCTGGGGGCAGAGCAGGAGACAAGTACAGGATCAAGAGGGTTGTCCAAGACTGACCAAGAAGGCCAAACGGAGGGAACAGTAGCAGATTTGAGTGGTCTGAAGAATGTCGGTGTCTGTGCCTGGCTTTGTCCATCTCGGTGTGGACAAGCAGAAGGCCAGGGTGGAGTCTCCATGGGGCCTTCTGACACTGACCTGAGGCTGTGTGGGTGGGGTGTGAACTTAGGGATGCATGAGCTCACCTAGAGGGGAGGTGTCCTCCTGTGGGTGCCATTTGGGGAGCCTCACAGCACCTTTCTTTTTCTACCAGTTCTCTGCATGCCAGGAAAGGGTCCTCTGGTCCAGACCTCTCTCT